GCGACCATGCGTCACATCTGTCGTCCGGCACGGCCTCTCTGTGTCTGCTGGCAGCACTGACCATTGGTTATTTCTTTAGCATGTAAAAAGCGTTGACAAGATACGCACAGAATTACTTAAGGATTTAAAGATAGCTAAGATATTATTAATCTCAGAAATCGATGTACAGAAAAGTGGGAAGATATGGAATAACATCAAAAGGCTAGCCCAGGATAGAGAAAGGTGGAAAGTGTTTGTCCGTGGCCTATACCCTAGTGTAGGGTGCGAAAGGCAATGATGATGATGAATAAGATATTATTATTATTATCACCACGACACCCTGCCTGTCTGCAGAATGTGGCAGCTGTTTTCTTTAAATGTAATTAATAGTTTAACGCCTCCAACGACACAGTTTACATTGCAGGAGTCCATCGAGAGAATTTTAGGCAGTCCTTTCTGAGAATCTCCATGACTCAGAATCTTACCGCAAACATAAGCTGTTATTAAGAAAAGACGCCAAATACCTAGCTCTCACAATTGGCATTAGGCTAAAAATTGGTGTCCCTTGATTTGTAATTAACTGTTTTATCTTTTGCCTGTTTAGATCCATATTGTTTAAAACGGATTGGTTTTCCACTGCTCAATATGTGCTGGTCCAGTTCGACCTTCAGCCTTAAGTGGGAGATGAGTTTGGCCCTGTTGCGATCAAATTTGACACCCTAGCCTGATTTAGATCATTTAGGAGGCGAATTTCATTCCTTCCTGTCATGGTCAACTCGAGCCAAGAAAGATACAACGTCTCTGCAGAACTACCGAGAGTAAAGAGACTTCTCCCCACATGGGTTTGGAACTAAGATGTTCTGTGTGCAATGGCGAAGCGCCAAACGGCTACAACACGGACCAGAGTAGACAATGGTGGTGGCATGTGTGGCCATGTTTATGTTTTGTTGAGTTAAATTGGTATAATAGGTTCCGGTTTTAGAAATGAACAGTGTTCTTTAAAATGTTATTTTTTTTTAAAGACAAGGGTGTTTTTACGCCGCCATAGACACACGACATTTTAATTCGAGCGAGATGCTGCGAGCAGAGAATTTGAGCTATGCAGGAACTCGTGAATCACAGCAACTTGACCCGACTAGACTAATGGCTAGGCTTTTTACCGCTGCACAAAGAAGATTTGAGTTCGATTCCCTCCAGGGGCAATGATTTTTATCAAATGTTTCCGACTGTCTGCCCGGATGTTGTATCCCACTCAGTTCAGATGGGCCCTGATAGGCAGGTTTGAAGTAGCCCGTCTGCTAATGATCTAAAGCACGTCGACCACGACATGAAAACATTCTAGATGCTCCACAGTGCACACTGCAGTTCGGATTCATCGATTCGAGTCAAGGGCTGCCAGATTTTCCCTAATGGAATGGGGCAAGAGCTACCGTATTTTGTCACAATAAGACCGATTCGACTTACGACCTTGAGATACAAACACTTTTGATTTTGAATGTCATACCTGAATAAACACATTACATAGTTGGATTCGGTCGTATTGTTGCAAAATGATAACCTTTGCCCCATCCACGAAGGAAACTTTGGCTGGCCCCGAACTGTCTTTTACTTTACAATGAAATGCGTTTCGTCGGTGGCGTAGTGGTTATGCTACTGGACTCGTAATCATGAGATTGCGGGGTTCAGAGGTTCGAGCCTCAGCTCAGTCAGACGTTGTGTCCTTTGGTAAGGTATTTCAAACTAATTTCCTGTTTGGGTCCGTCCTTTCGGAGACGGACGTTAAACTCGGAGGTCCCGTCTCATAAATAACCCAAAACTGTTGATAGGGTCGTTAAACCTACACCATTTCACCCTTTTCATTTTCAACGATGAAATGTGCATTGGGTATAACAAACATCCTTGTAGTTTGTAGCAGGATTCAGTGTTCTGGCCACGTAATGCCGCTTTCACCGGTCAGTGGGTCTGGCCTCTGTTGGTCCCAGTGCTGGCTGGCCGTTGGTGTGTGAGAACGTGTGTGTCTGTATTTCCCCGGCCAGCTGTTCAGATGTTCTAAGTCCAAAGCTTTCTTTAATTTTTTCTTCTTTTTAGTTTAGTAAGGTTTTACGGCACTCGCAACTGCATGAGGTCATAATATGAGCGACACCCAAAGCTCTGAATGAAAAAAAAAAGAATTTAAGTTTCTTAATACATGTATGTGGTACCGATTGCATGTGGTTAAGAAATATTTTTTCGATTTTCAAATTTACAATGATAAAAAAGCAAGAATATAGATCTAGTGTATTTTGTACATACAGTTTTAAAAAAATGATACCCTTTTCCTCTCTCTCTCTCCTGAAAAAAAATGCTATCTGGGCTTAATTCATTTGCATAGCTTTCCCACGCTTTTCTGTGTAAATCATCGATTCCTGGGCAATAGGCCTTCCTTGTTATAATGTACGAGTAGTTTCGTGGCATATATTTGCCACTATATACAGATTGAATTAATCGAAATGGAATTGTAAAATAAATTTACTGTGAGTGATTGGCCTATCTGATTATTCTTACTCTGCTTGCATTTTATAAAAACGTTTAATCAATTTTTACAAAAGTGTGTATTGGTTCACGTACTGTTCTTGATGTGTGTGTGTGTGTGTGTGTGTGTGTGTGTGTGTGTGTGTGTGTGTGTGTGTGTGTGTGTGTGTGTGTGTGTGTGTGTGTGTGTGTGTGTGTGTGTGTGCGTGTGTGTGGGTGTGTGTGTGTGTGAGCGAGCGAGAGAGAGAGGGAGAGAGAGAGAGAGAGAGAGAGAGAGAGAGAGAGAGAGAGAGAGAGAGAGAGAGAGAGAGAGAGAGAGAGAGAGAGAGGGAGAGTATGATGTGTTCTGTTGTTAAAGTGATAAAGCGAAATGGGGGTGGGGCATATGATGGGAAGAGAAGGAAAAAGAACCGAAAAAAGGAAAGACGAAACAGAAACAGGGAAAAAAACGAAGAAAGCACAGAATAGGAGCCTATCAATTAGAGGTTTCGTGTTCAATAAAGTCGTATCTTATGCACAAACGTTTATTGTTATTCAACGTAACCACCTGTTAAGTATTTTAAAGACTTTTCCCCCTCTTAATTGGCTAAGGACACCTTCAGTAGGACAGAGAAGTTGTAAGATTGAGTTCAGCATGATATTATAGCTAGCGCATACAGTAATTACTATTATCGAAAAAACGAACTATGTACTTATCTCGAGCGTCTTGTAATGTTGCAGTAAGTGAGAGTGAAATAAAAAACATATATTTTCACCGGTAATCTAAATAACATTTCAGACAAAATCATCCCCAGAAAAGAAAGAAATAGAATTGACTTTTATCACGTTTCGAATTTCAAGTCTCCTGAAACAGACATCTTTCAATATGGGACATGCATGTATACATCTTTACTAGGGAGAAAACTATTTTGCTTGCATTGCGTAAAAGGCAAAAAACGTTATAATGTATTACTTTATACTGATCAGTCTGAAAAACACCCAAAACAAAACTAGTAATCTGTTGATTTATAACACTCAACGATATTATGCATCCGTATAAAACAAGTACAAAATATACATTATGATTTCACTTATCCAAATAAATAAACATGAAGCAATTTGCACTGTATTTTTTCTGAATTATAGATCTAGGTGCGTCTTTCGCTTGACCCTCTAGATCATTGTGTTGGTTAGCTTGTAAAGTCGGCTGGTTCTCACAGGCGTCCGTCAATGTCGACAAATGTGTGTCATTCTAACGATGAAAGGACAAATGTTATGACTGCCAGTGGCTCTGTTTATTTCCTTATTTCGTTTCTCGTCTAGTATAGTTTTAGTTTTAGTAGGGGTTTTACGGCGCTCGCAACTGCATAAGGTCTTATGAGCACCGATGGATGGATGTCAATAGAGATGTCCTTACAGGGAATCGGGCATACTCTGCCCACCTCTCTAGCTTCAACAGCACAAAGTCAGCTTCGACTATTAAGGCACCCCGGAAAAAGCGGGTCACAAGAGTGTGACAAACATGCAGTAGAGGGAAAATGAAGATAGTAAGGATTAGGAAAGAAAAAGCAGCAGTTCCCTGTTGCAGTTCAGGCACAGTTATGAGCATGACATCGATGAATCAGCCCATTTACAATTCTACTGTGCTTAAGAACAGGTTAAATAAAGTCCCCTAATTGGGAATGGCCTAAAGACACTTCAGTCAGTAACACCGCCCCTCCGGGGTATTTCGTTATTTCATCTTGTCTAGGAGCAGATTGGGTGGGAGGGTGGGGTGGGGGTGGGGGTGGGGGATGGAAAGAGGGGAAAGGGGGAGAGGGAAGGTGTGGATGATACCAGCCTGTTGGTCTGACGACGTTATGGATAACGAATTCGGTATATTCATGAGATTCCAACGTTCGAATGTGTGAAACATTACATTTTCGTGAAGCTTGTGATGTCTTTCTGAAGACCACAAGCACCGTTTCCTATAAGACTGTTCCATATAACGGCAGAAAAGTCAATTAATTGCTTCTGAAAACCACTAACACGCTATTTTCTTGGGGTTTGAACAACAGGCAGGACACGAGGTGTGGAGCTCCGAAAAACCTTGACAATGTGTGACAGAAATGAGCATAGAAAGCCCATCAGAACACACGAAAAAGCTTTACGAAAACAGAGTGTTTCAACATCTGTCGGGACAACAATAGGTGGTGAGGAAATGAAGAACTCCATAGCAAAAATCAGTCTTCATGTTTACTACAAAACAGAAAAATGGTGGGAAAAAGTATTTACTAAAAGCAAAAGTATGCCCCCCCCCCACACACACATAATTTTATGACATTACAATGTAGATACCGATGGACACAGTGCATTAAAAAATGTAAGGACTGGGTTTTCTGGGAATGCTAGGGTTTGGAACATAGTGTTGCAATGGAACCCTTCAAATGATCTGGCAAATACGATCAAGGTTTGGCCCCAGTTGGATTTAAACCCAGAATTTCCACATGTGTTGGTCAAGCAAACGCCCGACTGTGCCACTGTTGATATGGCTTTTAGAAAACAAAAATAAGTGCGTAAAAGGGGATACTGATGACATGGAACGTAACGAAAAAGATGCGATCCCATGCTTTTGCTGAAAAATGCCACCTGGAAGTTTTGGCCTTGGCTTTGGAATTGTCTTCCTCCGCAGGTAACGAACTATCCGTGACCTTGCTCTGCCAAGCTTTCCCGACAGCCCGTTTTAACCGGCGGCACAAATCTGCATCTGACAGCTCTTTCTGTAATATGACGTTACCACTCTCCGAATTCTCCCGAAGAACTTTCTCTTCTCCTTTTTGGTTCAAGTTGGTCACTGCATCTACATCCAAGGCTGCGTGGTGCAGGCGGCTTCTCCTCTCCTCATCTCTGGACGTCATGGTCGCTGCTTTCTGTTCCTGTTGGTGTTTTTGCATGATGAAGACGGTAGCAATCATGGCGAACAAACAGTCTCCGTTAACAGCCAGAAGAAACAGGGCTAGTCGTGGCATGGCGTTTAGGTTTTTAGGAAGAGTATTTCTGTGGAAGAGTAATGCATTGTTCTAGTATGGGTTAACGACCTTTTCGACAATGTAAGGTTAATTTAAAGTACCGATACTGATACATGAATAAATAATTACTCGTATACATGGATGAATGAATATTCAGATGCGCGTGAATAAAAATAGAAACGAAGAGACAAGCAATGAGGAAAAAAAAGAAACCAAGAAAGAAAAAATAACATACACATAGTTTAAACTCCAAGAAAAATCTGAAGGCGTGCAATTATGCTTTGCAAAGATAGTTACACACAAGGGCACTCTTTTGGCAAGGCTTTTTTCTCAGTCTTTTTTGTAGTTCAGAAAGCCCTCATTGTTAATGATAATGATTAAGCATAAATAATACAAAATCCAATGGTACAACGAATTTGACCGGTCAATGATTGCTTAACGAACTTCTGCAATTAGTAAATTGTCTCCTTTTCCGCAAATAAAATGTAGACACGATTAGATTTGATACAGAAAAAAGTGGAGACAAAGACATTCGGTTTAAAATAAAACCACCATTTCCCTTCTGGAAAGAACACGGTAGTAAAAGCAGCAACAACGACAGCAACAAAAAAACAAAACAAACAAAACCCATAACAACGATAACAACATTATCCTACACAGACCAATTGGTCCCAAAGCGGTCCTCCATGACTCCTCTGAGACAGCCTAAACTGTGGGATGTAGAACGTTCACTATCATCGTTAACAACAGCAACATCAGCAACAACAACTATGATAACAACAGCAACAGAAGCAGAAACAAGACGACGACGACAAGAAGAAGAAGAAGAAGAAGAAGAAGAAGAAGAAGAAGAAGAAGAAGAAGAACAACAACAACAACAACAACAACAACAACAACAACAACAACAATAGCAACATATTTATGAGGCCGTGGCACTGATGAGAATGTTCTTTTCTCGGGGTCGCAGACTGGTGCAACGGGGGCATAGACTCTTTTGACCCCTAAATCTGTCGGCCACACACACAAACACACACACACATACACACACACACACACACACACACACACACACACACACACACACACACACAAGTACACACATACAGAAACACACACACATACACACAAACACACACATACACAGACATACACACACATGTACACACCTGCACACACGCATACACACACACATGTACACACACAGACACTCACAGACACACACACATACACACACGTACACACACACACACACACACACACACACACATACACACACAACAGCAAAAACAACAACAATAACAGCAACAACAACAACGGTGAAAATATAATCAAATAACAACAAAAACAACAACGACGAAGACAACAACAGTAGCAATAGCAAGAAACGACTCTTATACGGGGTTCTCATGCGGGGCGGGGCAGTTTGCCTGCCAGCCTGAGGGCGCAAAGCGGCTATCGTGGCCGACTCGTCGACTAAAAAGCAAACGCGTTTGTTTTTAGGCGACGAATGGGGCGATCGCCCCCGACTCGACTCGACTCGACTCGACTCGACCAGACACGCTCCCATCCACAATGGGCACCCTGTATAAAAAACAGAAACAGATCTGGAGCAAAAACTTACGCTATGAAGTTGAGGAACACTGCGTTGGAGACGAAGACAGAGACGAGAAAAGAAAGCTTCTCTCCTGCCTCGACGGGGATCCAAAAAACAAGTGACGTCATCGCAGAGGTGATCAGCATTGGCACGATGAGGCACATGATGTAGTACAGCTGACTTCTCGCCAGTATCACATTGCATATGATGATGGGACCAGCATGGTAAGATCCAGGAGTCATTTTCCGATCTCTGATAGACCACTGCCCAGATTGAGTGAAAGGGTTTTCCATGGGGTGGAGAGAAATATGCTCAAAAACCAGTCCCACGTCATCAAAAAATGGGTAGAAGACAATGTCACAGCTTTGTGTGTCGAAGGGGTAGTAGGTTAAGTCGAAACTGCAGAGAGTGCGTAGATGCATGGGCTTGTGCACTGTAATCCGTCCTGTGTGGTACAGAAAAAGACTGACGTAACTGTCTGTTGTGATGAAGTCACTATTCACGGCGTTAGCAACAATGAAGTCCGGATGCCAAAGGCTGTAAACATAACAAGAAGGTTCATATGAGTTGCTATGTAGGAGATTTTTGAAAGATTCCTCTTGTTTTGGTAATTTGATCGCAATCGTGGTCTTGATTTACGTTCCTACAGTTCATGACTTCCATACGATTATTAGTTCTGTGAAAGCACCTCTAACCTTGCCTATTCTTGTCTTTACATAACATGCATCTGTTCCACCAATCCAGTCTGTAATCCTACCTAAGTAAATGAAAGAAGGAATCGGCTTCCTCTAGCTCTTTGGGGACGCGCGTCCCGGTCTTCTCCAACGCCTGAAGGCCTCACTGTTTAGTAGCAAGACTTCGTTCTTCATACGTACATATTTTTCAATTCGATCTTCTTTATCTTAAACTTGAAAATGCAACATGAACGCGCATACTACGATGAACTATGCAAATTTGTGTTTCTGATTTATTTGTTTAATAATGTGCCGCAATATAGGGTTTGGTCTGCTGTCGAATATAATAATGATTCCGATATGTCCTTAGAAAGCTAGAGGTGTTTCCCCGATGGAGATCTGATGGCTGATACCGTGACTGTGGTATAGTGTTTCAGGCCCCCGTCGTCGTACGCTGGAGACCCGAGTTAGATTCCTGAGCGGGTAACATTTTCATTAAGTATCTCCGTCTTTCTGCTGGGATGTTGTATCCCTCTCAGCCCGGTTAGGCCCTGACAGGCAGGGTCAGAAGCCCACCTCCCAATGGATTTAAATTGTGTTGATAGGGACTTAAAGAACCTGCATTAAAATATAGATGAAGATGTTGTTGGTAATTTGTATCTTGGTCTTGTCTAGATGTACTTTAAGGTCTGTCACCTACGAGATATACAAATCTCTTATTTTATCCTTTATCTATTGTTGACTAAACAGACTTAAGCATGCAACATCGTCTGACTACAAAGTCCAACTCTTCACGTTGCGTCCATAATGCCTATTTGGATTCATGTCTTTTTATGTTCTGTGGTCGTTTTCATGATCCAGTCTATGATGGGTAAAAACTAAAAAACTAAAACAAAACAACAATAACAATAACAACAACAAAAAGTTGACAGTACACATCCTTGTTTCACTCTCGTGCATGTGAAAGCTGTTGGTAAACTGACTTTCGTGGATGACACTGCAGCTTGAATCTATACATATTATATTTGCGAAACTCCGTCACTTTTACCGCCTAAAACTTCCGAACCACTTAACTTTCGAATTTGAAAAAAAAATAATGGTGGTTCAGAATCTTTTAAAGGGTGCACAGTTTTATTGAGAAGCCTTAAGTCATTATAGATCTAGTTTAATTTTCAGTTTTTCATTAGTTTCGTTTAGATCTAATCTTGGGAAGTGCATCTTCTAAAACAAATGAGGATTCCGTTCACTAGCAGTGCGCATTGGTCCCACCCCTTTGAAATTATGAAGTGCACAAACACGAAAGTGGAATAGAAAATCAATCTACACATCTATTATATATTTGGCAACTTAGAAACACTATTACGTCACTTTTCTCTCCAGATTTATTGCTCCATTCCAGTAGAGTATTGTAGGCCCATGGCTTTTAGTTGATGTTAATGAACCGATCATTTCTTTAATCGAAATGGGGCCCAGCTAGTCCTATATATGTTATAGTGTTCCTGGATTAATCAGACCAGTTTTTCAGGATACCATAATGCCTCATATATTATTTCCATGAGGTGTTATGATGGATACAGTCGATTGTTTTGTCGAACTCCACGAAGTTGGTTAGAAGTGGTGAGCTCCAATCTAGTGAATGCTCAGCTATGATTCTACGCATTGCAGTTTGGTCTATACTTCAAAGTTGTTTTCTTAAAAAAAAAATACGTGCGTGCTTGTGTATGCATGTATGAGTGTGTGTGTGTGTGCGCGCGCGCGCCTGTGTGTGTGTGTGTGTGTGTGTGTGTGTGCATGTGTGTGTGTGTGTGTGTGTGTGTGTGTGTGTGTGTGTGTGTGTGTGTGTGTGTGTGTGAGTGTGTGCAATACTTGATGCAACCCAGGATCACCCAAGCTCTTCTCTGAGCGGCTCCCGGGCAATTAATTGAGTTTGAGACTTCTATTCTACTAGTGCTTTACCCTACTGAGCCCGGGTTGCCCCTGACAGACATGACTGAAGTACGCAACCCGCTTCTTAGACGATTAGAATTACGATAATCACTCACTATCATTTACTGGCGACAATTTTAAGCAATGGCATGTTTATGAAATTATCTGCAATGGCGTAAGATTGCGTATTTTGTAGTCTTAGTGTGTACAATATGTGTGTGTGTTTGAATAAGTAATACATTTTGTGTGTTTATTTGCCTTTGCCATTGTAACCAAAATCTCCTGGGGGTAATAAAGTGTAATTCATTTTTTTTAAACCTCCTATTTGTATGGGAAAAACGTTGTTTCCCCACCTGTCATACGGGAGCTTGACAAAATCTATCCCCTCGTACTCAGACACGTTCCAAGCCAGACTAGTATCCCTCCAGGAGATCTCTCCATAGCTCAAAATGGAAATGATCTGGTCAACCTCGTCAACATTGGTGATCTGGGGAGAGCATAATGCGTCAGTTAATACAATACAACGTTAAAGGATCGTACTAGAACCGAAAGAGGGAGTAGGGACACAATGCTTTTGCGGAACTAAAGGGTGATCTAAAAAAACCTGTACAACTTGTTTTGTAAATATCTTCCTCGACACTGAAGTTTTGCTTTCCAGATTTGAACATAACATTTGGAAGCCAAAGGGAATTTGTCTGTCAGATATTCATTTAAGATAAGTCCTTTGAACGTTTTTGCTCTGGCATTTTTAACCTTGTCGCCATTTTTATAGCATGATGCACCAGTTCGCATTAGGTCTACCACTAAAAGTTGCAACAATCGCGACATGTTGCAAGCTACAGCTGTCTAACAAGTCAACAGAAGTCTGCAGATATTTTTCTTCCAAAATTTCGTTTGCCTGCTGAGATCATGGTTACGTTTCGTAAAGAGTAGAGAGCTTTTTGTATTGAACATTACCTCTCCAAAAACTCACCATCCTTGACCTTTCGTAAGTTCTGCGCACAGCATGGAGAACATGCATAGGTGCCCTTTAGTCCTTTGGCGTCATGAGTAGAGAAGTTCCGCCAGTTTGGATCTATAGTAAATCAGAACTAAAAATTTCCTTAAAAATGACCACTTCAGGTCGAACACTCACCATGCATAGCCTTTTAAACGTCACAACAGTGCTGATCTCAGTAGTCGAGTCCCATGAGACATCTGTCCGTAGACGATCTACAGTTAGGACTTTCCTACACTTCAACAGTCTGCATTCTCATGGCAGATCTTAACCTTCTACTATACCATTTTCATCTTCGCTAGGCCGAGACGACATAGATCAGAGCATGACAATGTGTTCATGATTACTTGGTTGTCTTGAAAAGCGGGATCATTTCCTGGAGGACATTTGGTTTATAGTGCAAAGCCTATTTTCATCCCGCGGGAGGTGTTGATTCCAAAAAATGCTTTCTATTTATTGTCTGTAGAAGCCACTTCATGCTGAATGGGTACCGTGTATGGTTTAGCAGGTCCTTGTGTTTGGGCGCCGTTGAATATTTAGAACGACGAGTTAAACGTGTGTCTAGTCCAAAGGAAGGCACAGAGAGCACTGCTTCTAGGCATTTAAGAGAGAAATCGTTAGTTCTTTAAGCTGTGTAAAAGAAATTTAAAAATTGTTTAAATATCACAGGGATGGAAAAGTAAATGCCAAAGAGAAAATAAAGAAAAACGTCAACCAATCTTTTCATGACTTCCTTTACAAGATATGAATTTTCGTTTTTGGGTGCTTTTTTCTCTATGCCATTTCCGTTTTGGAAATAAATTTCTTCTTCGTGGGTTTTATGTCAAACAAATCTGTTCCAAATTACTGCATTCTAAAACAATTTTTGAGGGAGATATTCAGAAAAAAAGTTGCACAGTTTTTTTACCCTCTGTATAGTGGCGAAACCAGTACGCTGAACTTATAGTTTGAAACCGGTACTCTGAACTATAGTGTGATACCAGTACGCTGAACTAGAGTACTCTGAACTATAGTGCGAAACCAGTGCGCTGAAAACTATAGTACTCTGAACTATAGTGGCGAAACCAGTACGCTGAACTATAGTACTCTGAACTATAGTACTCTGAACTATAGTGGCGAAACCAGTACGCTGAACTATAGTACTCTGAACTATAGTACTCTGAACTATAGTGGCGAAACCAGTACGCTGAACTATAGTATTCTGAACTATAGTACTCTGAACTATAGTGACGAAACCAGTACGCTGAACTATAGTACTCTGAACTATAGTACTCTGAACTATAGTGGCGAAACCAGTACGCTGAACTATAGTATTCTGAACTATAGTACTCTGAACTATAGTACTCTGAACTATAGTGGCGAAACCAGTACGCTGAACTATAGTATTCTGAACTATAGTACTCTGAACTATAGTACTCTGAACTATAGTGGCGAAACCAGTACGCTGAACTATAGTATTCTGAACTATAGTACGAAACCGGCATCTGAAAGCTAGAGAAAGCGGCGTCGTCTGCTTTCTGCTTTGTGTACCGGATGGTACAAACAGGGGGATTGGGTCAGGGTAATTTTTTTGGAGTGTAGTAGTAGTAGTGTTTTGAATCTTAACAACAACAGCAGCTGCTTTCGAAACAGAAACAACATCGACGAAGTCGAGCCGTCTTCGGATTGGCGTATTCCAAGTTAAATTGACATGACAGAAACGGTAGAGATAATAATTGTGGATGAGAGAAAGAGATAGATAGATAGATAGATAGAAAGATAGACAGATAGATAGATAGATAGATAGATAGATAGATAGACAGATAGATAGAT